GAGGGCGAGGACGAGGAGGAGGAGGAGGGTGAGGACGAGGACGAAGGCACGGACGGCGTCGAGGACACGAGGAGGACGAGGAGGAATTCGAAAGATCACGAGGACGAAATGCAGAGGAGAAGGACTGGGGGAGAGCGTGGGAGATGAGGAAAGCAGAACTTTCGCTGCCTTCGACACAATCGACGTCGCCGTCGCCGACGCCTTCGCCGTCGTCGACGCAGTCGACACCATCGACGTCGCAGTCGTCTCCGCTCCTTCCCTACTCGTTTCTTCCCTCTTCTATCCCTCATCCATTCCTGCCTCCCCCTATCATCCATCCTCGCCGACCTCGCCGGCGTCCTGTCCAGCGTCCTCGGCGGCGTCGCGAACGCTGGGTCGCCCGTGGGAAGACGTGGGAGGAGGAGGAGGAGGAGGAGGAGGAGGAGGACGTTTCCACTCGCACTCCAGCACCGAGGACCCCTCCCAAGGCGTCTGGGATTGTCCGTGTCCGCGCACGTCTCGAGCGCACCCCGACGCAACTCGGGCCCTGGCCTAGTGCCCAGGGCCTAGCACGTGCTGGGGGCAGTCGGCTAGAGAGGTTTATCCAGACTGCCCCCATCCCTCGAAAGAAAAAAGGCACATGAGGCAGAGTCCGTCGTCTCCTCCGAGTCCTTCTCCTCCCATTCCTCTCCTCCTTCACCTCCTCAACTCCTCTTCTCCTCACCTCTTGCTCTCATCTCCTCCACTCCTCCTCTCCCCCTCCTATCATCATTCATTGTTTCCTCCTCATCTCATCCTCAACCTCTTCTGCTCCTCCTTCTTATCCTCCTCCTCCTCCGCCTCCTCATCTCGCAGACCGCACACCTACTTAAGCAGGTGTGCGTACTCGTTCCTAGAGAGATTCTTGGTCCCAGGAATCTTCTCGGCGGCGGCCGAACTCGCCGCCTGCTCTCCCTGACCGTCGGCGGCAGCGTGGCTGGCCTTCTTGGAGTTGGCCAGCGCGTTGCCACCGAGCAGCGCCGACGCTCCCGCAGCATCGGTTGCTGTCTGGTTTGCCTGGGCGTGGGAGGGTGGGCGTCCTCATCCTCTTCCCCCGCCTTGTGTTTTTCATGAACATCCTCCTTTGTCTTCCTCATCGTTGTTGCTGCTGCCGCTCAGCGCCGCTGAGCGGCAGCAGCAACAACGAGCCCTCAGCGGCCTCAGATCTGACGCCGCTGAGCCTCAGCGGCGTCAGATCCTCTCCCGCCTTGTTTGATGTATAGCAGGCTCGAGGCTCGTGGTGTTGACGACACCCCTGAACTGCCTGGCCACGGGTGGTAGGCTTGACCTTCTCGTCGGGGAGGAGGTAGCGCCACAGCTCGACTGGAGGGTTCGAGCTCGCACCAGAAGCAACTAGGCATGGCAGGCACGCGCGGCACTCCTTGATGTTGCCAACGTGCAACCAGCTAGGCAAGTCGAACACGACATTCTGAAACGCAACCGTCAGCGGTGCCTGCGGTAGCTCGGGTGACTTAACAGGAGGAGGGGGTTTGGCCTTGGACTTCCTCTTGGGCGCGGCTGTGGTGGTAGCCGTCGTCGCGTCAATCGCGGTGACCATCCACGCCGGGATCGGGCAGTCGCTCACGATGCCGTGCTGCGTCTCATCGTACCCTACGTACAACGGGATCTGGATCATCGTATCGGAGCCGCTCTCGCATGCGGCCATGACATTGTCTGCGGTCAGCTCCTTGGAGTTAGAGACATCGACCCCACAAATAGTCATGATGTGGAAGGATTGTTTCATTGTAGGGGTGGTCGTCACAGTACCTGCAAAGAACATCTTCGGGGCCCAAGTGTCCTCAGGCAGGTCAGTAGTAGACTCCTTGACAATCTTCTTTTCGCTCACCATTTTGATTGAACTGATGCCAGAATTGCTACCCTTTTTCGAAACTGATGAAGCAAACGTAACATCGATACGGCACGATGACTCACTCTTGCAGTTAGGGGCGAATGCGAGGTTGAACAGCTGGCCCTCGACAGCCAGGCAAACCTGCTTCACAAAGGCGGCTGTCACCTCACGAGCTGGAACCTTGAAGATACCAAACTTCTCAATATTGCCAGCATTCTTGGCGACCTGAGTGGAACGGAGAGCTGATCCAGTTGGCCCATCGCCAGCGTCAGCGTAGAGGGACGAGTCCTGGTAGCGAATCACTTCGCCAAGAGTGCCCAAAGTAGTAAGACCAGGACCACCACCGCTCGCGGGGCAAGACTGCTTAGGCTCACTCGCAGTGCCTGCGGCGACAATTGCATCAGAGGCAGCCACAGCCTCGACCGCGCCTGCATTCTCAACTTCCTTGTCGAAGGCCTCTTGGGCAGCCTGCGACGCCTGCTGCACTCCCCAGAGAGTTTGTGCTGCCACGCAAATGTCGTTAATGATTGTGTCCAGCTGTTCAGACTCCGCCGTGACCGACTTGTGCAAGACAGCCTCGAATAACAGACTGCAGGTTGAATTCCATGTGTTCTGCCATTTATCACGCCCCAGGCCAATGCACCGACAGTCCATATGAAATAGGACAGACTTCGACTGGCTCTCTTGCTTCAGGATCTGGACTGCCGTAGAGACCTTTTCCTTCGGAATCGCAGCTGAATTGACAGTCCAGACAATCCCGCGGGACTGGCACCGAATAAGCAATGCTGTCATAAGCTCGATGACGCACTTCCCGCGGCACAGAAGGTAATTCTCGATGGAGATCATATCTGGAAATATAGCAGTGGCTGCCTGGGACCACTGAAACATCATTAGCAACGTAGCGACGTAGCAACACCAACAATAGTACAACACAACAGAAAACTATTTCGAAACAACTTTCAGCTGAAGACGCTGAAGACAGAAAAGCATGCAGCAGGAGAATGGGAGAAGGAAGCGATACCTCCGGGACGACGAAATCACCGTACTGCTCAGGGTTAGCCCAAACGACAGCGAGATCTTTCGCTGGGATGAGGAACTTGTCTCCAAGAGCTGCGCAGTCCTGGCTACACTGGCTGAAACCCTCCATAACCCAAGTCATCACAGAGCCAACGTCCAACAGGTGTGGCTTATCCTTATCCTTCTTGGTTGGCATGGATGCCTTGGCATACGACTCGAACGATTTCCAGGCAGCAGTCATCAGCGCCGCGAAGCATGGTAAGTGGTTCACAAACATGTCGACCTCGCAGGGATTGTTGCTCAAGAAATCTGAGATATGTTCGGTGAAGGTGTCATCCGAGAAGACCGAATTCAATTGCTTCTCTGCACTGTTGAGCTTCGATTCGTCAGACATGGCAGCGCACCCAGCATCCACGGTACTCTTCGACGCGCACGGGCTAGAGAGCACAATCTGCGTGGCAGTTTTCTTGGCCTCAGCACGCACAGCAGACCATCCAGACAGGGTTTTCTTCAACTCGTTGAAAGTCACCTCAATGAAAGCGAAAGATCAACGAGCACTTACTTACATACTGTCCGATCTGATCGGTCCTGGGCAGACACGAGTTCACACGCGGCTGAGCTGAGCGACATCGCATCGTGGCTCAATGACACATCCTCCTCATCATCCTCCTCCTCCTCCCCTATCACATCCCCGACTTATCCTCCTCCCGCTCCTCCTCCCCCATCCTTTTCCTCCCTAATCCTGCTCCTTCTGGGGATCAACGGCTCAAGCTGGGAGCGTCTCGTGGCCCTCCCAGCTCCACGCACATTCCAAGCTGATGCGGATGAACGTCCGTTTCGCCTCTGGGTGGGCAGTCGCGAGAGATTTTCTGAATCTGAGGCATGACATGACATAGCAGTAGCACTAGCACTAGCACTGGCAGGGGAAGGTAGTTACTGTGGGAGAGCAGGTTATGTTCCAGGCTCCTTGTCAACAGCTTGCACGGTGGACGGGTCTTTCCTCTGCTCGTCTCCGTGGAAAGCGGCCGATCCAAGGCCATCGTCGATGGCCGCTGACATCCCGACCCACATGTCCTCGAACCACGTGATTGGCATATCTTTGGCGGTCTTGAGAGCCTTAACCGTCTCCATATGCTTCATCTCCACTGCGGTGGTGGTCGAAGCCTTCTTGCCGCCTCCTCTCCTTCGGGATGCCGCGGGCACAACTGCTTGCTCATCCTTCTTGTCGCCGTCGGTCAGTGCTGCCTCCTCGTCAGGTTGTTGCTCGGACTGCTCAGTCGGCTCCTCTTTCGCCTCTGCGAACAAACGTTCGATCCCACCTGCACCAGCCTTCGTCTTCTTCCCGGCATTGCGCCCAGAAGCAGCACCAGCAGGTTTCGTCATTGATTGCGCAGCGCAGATGGCATCATTGATAACATCTATCTTCTGTTGGCGTCTGATGGCTTCTTTGTACACCTTCCCAGTCTTGATGTCCACCGTCAGGATCTTGAGCTTGGTGTTGGCCTCGGCGCCATCTCGCAGTAGCCAGTCAGTGTTCGTAGCATACTTGTCAAGGCCAGTGGTCCACACACTAGTATCCTTCTTATCAAGTTTGGCTTTCTTGGGATTCGAAGTGGAGCAGCAATCCTCGAGGTCCGCCTTGCGACGCTTATTGTATATCGTAACCACCGTGAACTTGCACATCTCTTCCAGCACCATCCGGCAGTCAGACAGCGACAGAGAGACCAAGCCAGCTTGAAGTAGTCCGCTCTTGGCGTTGCTGAGTGACGTTACGAATGACGCAATGCTGCGTAGCGCTGAGAGGACCTTGGACATCGTGAGCTGACCATCGTCGAACACAGCGTTATCCATGAACCACTTGCGCACTTGAGTCCAGTTGTCGAACTTGTCCTTGCTGAAACAGTTGACGATGTAGCAGTAGCTCTCGAACTGCGTGGAGGACGTGACCATGCCGAGCCTGATCTCCGTCTTGAAGTGCTCCGAAACGAACGCCCATGCTTTCTGACGGTAGCTCTCGTCATCGGTAGCGGGGCCCCGCGAAGTGATCCCATTCGCGAAGCAGTGCGCGCGCCATTCAGCTTGCATTTTGAACACGCACTCCAGGATCTCAACAATCTGGATGACTTGCTGCTGGCCGAATGTGTAGTTCATGAAGGTTTTGACCCATGACACGACGTCGTCGGGAGTCGAGAACTGAAACACGATCACTCGAGAAAGCCCCTTCCTGAAAGCGGCCTTGACGTTCGTATTGTTTGGGTTGCGTTCAAGAGCAAGGTAGAACGCTGTCGACAAGTGGCCAAACGTGAACAGATTGTAAGGGGGAGAATCGCCAGCCGATAGTGTTGCCATAGGCACTCCACGTGCCTCCTCGCAGACTCCGAATTTGAAGATGTTCTCAACCTGCTTTTCCAAGGTGGCCTGAGACTCTCGATCGTTCAACTTATGCCTCACAAAATTTCTGCGCCCATTCCCGTCGAACCACGGGATCGTTGCATTGAGCATAGTCTGTACCTGAGTGGATAACACACGACCTCATACCTCCTGCCTCCTCTCGTCCCCCTCCCCTGCCTCAGAAGTCTCCGAACTGCCCAAAATGGAAAACGGCGGATGCGCGATAGCTTTTGATCTGGGGTGGCGTTTGCTTCTGACGCGTGGGCACCCCCCAAGTCCGTTTGCAGAAGTCCATCCTGACTGATCCCTCCATGTTGGGCAACCTGACATCTATATCCTTGATGTTGGGATCATGTAGGCGAGTCAGGGCATGGCGTGGTGGGCTGGTAACACCGATGGACACAACGCTATCAGAAGACATCTGTTCCTCCACCTCATGCGGTGGAAGCGGCAGAGAACCACTCGAAGTTGCCATGCCGCCGCACGTAGTCTGTCAATTCTGAAGTAGATCACCCAAAAGAAGTTAACCGTGGCCAGGGTACTGCTTGACGCTGGACGTGGCTACGGTGTGCACACAGTTCCCATGAGACCCAACGATCGAAAAGAAAACTCGTCTCGCCCTAATCCTCCTCCTCATCCTACTCCTCCTCCCCATCCTCCTTCTCATCCTCCTTCCAAGAGGCCCGAAGATCGACGCAAAACGGTATCCTCCTCATCATCCTCATCATCCTTTCAGCCTCTGGTGTTTTGTGTTTTGCAGTTGTGTGTAGGCGCATGGACGAACGCGCATTGAATAATGTCTGCGCATGCTTCTGTTTGCACGATGGCATATGCGTACGTACGTTGGCATGTGGAATTGCTATGCGTGCGTACATAAGTGCGTGTGCACATGTAGCACAGTGTAGAACGTAGTATGTGTTGTAACTTCATAGTTGTTTTGTGTTGTCATTTAGTTGGGCCCAGCAAAACGCACAACGTTCAGATATTCCTGGCGCACGTATCTTACATACAGTCGGCACAGTCAGATCCTCGCCAGAGTCGAACAATCGAGTCAAGCATTGACTCCAGCAAGCGAAAAAAACGAGCTGCTAGATACTGTATCTGCGCAGAATATGGCGTGGCACAGCACGATACCGACAACGTTCACATGCATTGTGTTCCCCAACTGCTTGCACACCCTTGTCCTCAGGTGTTTTGACTGGAGCTCTCGGAGGCGATCGGAAGTGAAACTGCACGAGTCCTTGAACGGGTCATGGTCTGCAGACGCCGACGCAGCAGCTAATGTAGAATGGAGTACAGGAAAGCCTTGCAACAGGAGTAGTTCGGTTACGGTCAACCAACGCCCTGCCTTCCTAACCCATTCCATTGATTTGCAAGAGATGCAATACATCACCTCGGAGTCCGAGGCCCTGAACCGCTGCTCGGGGTCCTGCAAGGATGCTGAACAAGCGGGGATAGCATGGAATGAGAAAGAGGAAATGAGAAGCAGAAGGATACCATATCCGCGAGTCCTGAGTCACGTTCACGATGGAATCGCCTGGCAAATGAGGATCCTGCTCGTACTCGGACAAGAACCGCTCCTCCTCGCTGGTGAGGGCGGCTCTGTGATCGCCAGGCTGAAGTACAAACGATGGTGAACTCGAAGGCCTGAGCGACTTCCAGAGAGAGCTTGGGCGCCCTGCCGCCCATGCCACCTCAGACGCGATCTCCTCATCTGTGGCAACCATGAATATATGCCACGTGCAGTGAGGAGGCTTCTCCACCAGCCTGATGACGTTATCTAAGTTGAAGTAGGTCGATGTAATGCTCCTTCTGTGAAACAGGACTGACCAGCGGCGCTTCCTGCGAATGGGCCATCCGAACTGCGAGGGGCAAAGCACGAAAGATGTAATGACGTAGAGATCTGAAAAGGCAGCCTGAAGAATACTGACATCGAACAGGTGAGAGTTCTCGTGTACCACTACGGCTGGCATCATTCGGCGTACCAAGCATACCCAGGCTACGAAACATTCAACTGCCTTGCCAGTGTCTCTGAGACGTTTGCCTAATGGCGAGAAGTCAACGCACGGCGTGCCAGCTACGTGCAGTGTCCCAGGCTTGAATTTGCACGTGCCGCCGTGCACATAGCATGTACTGGTGCTGGTCGTCGCAGTTGCACCCTTCGCCCAGAACTGCGATAATGAAGACAACGATAAGGTGCCACGGGCTCGCTCTGATTCAAGTGCCGCCAAAGCCACTGGCGTGAGAAATAATAGAATGTCGCCAAACAGACAAGATGGTGGACTAGCATGTGCACGAAGCTCCTCACGACACCCAATGTCCTTTTCAATTGCTGCGATGTGCTCGGGGTGCTTGCAAGAGCATCCAGTCAGGCACGATATCGCAAGAGCCAACATGCACAACGCAGTCCCCGGGGCGTCAATGCCAGAGAACGCCGTACTGTACGTCACCTTTGAGAACTTATCTACCATGCTGGTCAGCATCATGCGCTCCCCATCGTTCTCGTCACCCTGGCCCTGGCGGCGCTTGCGACCCCGTCGGCGAGCCGACCCTGTTGGATTATCCACCAGCTGTCTCGCAAGTAACGATATCAGAAATGTAGGCCATTCAAATAATTGCTTCAGCACAGCATGCGAACGCTCACCATTTGGATCAGGCATGGGAATAGGATGGGCAAGCACAGGGGTGGGACCATAATCATGATCAGCGATAGCTGGATGAATAGTACTCTCGGCCTCGGCTGCATCTCCAAGAAACCTCGCAGCCCGTGATGGTGTACATGCGTGATCCGACTGATTATCCGAAAGGTCGTCTGCGATACCTTTGGGCACCACTGGAGTCCTAAGGCTGCTAAAAGGGTCATCATTGTATTGAAGTGGGCTGGCCCGCATAGCCGATGAGGATGAGGATGAGCTAATAGTAGGCTCAGGGATAACCGATTTGGATAGGATATCGTGTGAAACCGTGTCGCTGGGGTCGGGGTCATCTTGAGGAAACATATCAGGGGATTCCATACAAACGTCTGGATCGTAGGACGGCTCGAAATCGTCGAGGCTACCAAGGGCCTCGCGTATCCGAGCATCAACATCATCATGTGGTTGCGAGTCGGCCGGCACTGAAGGCGTGGCTGGTGGCGTGTCGCAGCTCGCCTCGGCCGTTGGATCATCGCCGAAGTTTGCCAGCTCTGGCAGCTGGTCCTGTGGCGCGACCAAAGGTACACTCGTCTGCTGTTGCGCTGGCGATTCTGATCCAGCAGGGCCAGCATCTGCTATCTGACCAGACGACTGAGGAGGCTGCGCAGGAAAAGCTAAACGTTGCTGCCAGCGAAAATCCATATCAGATTCTGCAAAGACAACCCACGGCGCTTTCCTCGGGAACAGAAACATACACATGAAGCATCTAGCTAACGCTGTCGCTCTCGTCGATCACTCCGTCGGCGCTGCCGCAACCGCCACCATCGTCGTCGTCTGCGTCGTCGTCGTCGAGGGTTGGTGACGCTTTGGTTCCCCAGTCGGTCGTAAGCGACTTCACTGGCACAGAGAACTTGCCGTTGCCGGCGGTCAGCTTGCTGATCGATGCAAATTTCCATAACACGACGTATGGCTCATCCGAACGTTGATTCTTCACATTGGCCACAGACAGGGCCTCACTGAACGAGGTGATGCCGTGAATAGAGACGTGGTTGTCAAAATCGTGCGCGAACAATTTCGATTGCTCAACGAATGTCGCAGATGCAAATGCCTCGATACTGTAGGGGCAACGCTTCTCGAATAAGTATGTTGAAGTGCCTTTTGCAAGAGCCCCACACCACGTCGACTGCACCAGACCACTGATGGCACCAGCAATGATATCCTATGCGGCAGAGAGACACACACACACGCGCAAACAAAGATACTCCCCCCCAACTCAGTGAAAGGTGGCCAGACGCTTTTGACAGCGACCGTCCTGCGCAGCGCTGGTCGGCACGAGAATACCCCGACATGATTTGGAAGCAGTAGATGGTGGCATTGGCACAAGAAGGAAACCCTTGACCACAAAGGCTGCAAATGCTGGACGTATGTTCCACTGTGTGACCACACCCTCCAGGCAGATGTGATGTGCTAGGCCCCGGGCGCATGTTGAACATGAAATGTATGGCATTGCGTCCACTGGCCTATGCGCAAGGTGTTGGTCACGCAAGCACCAAACACCCCACGAATCCTACACGGTGAGAGCATGAACCATCAGAAGAACGTACTAGTGCCAGCGACACTAACCCTGATACTACATGTAACAGGCGACGCGAACCAATACAAACTCGTATGACGCTCACATGTACAACAAACTCTTGCACATCTACATGGTTCGGAGGTTCGCAGGGCACATCATACCCCCCTTCACACTCAACACAAACGATGTTGCATCATACCCCAACGCTTGGATCACAACACAACTGTTCAAGACCAATGTGATTGAGCGTGGCAAAGTACAACAGAATACGATGAAACTTCAAGCAACAGTCAGTATATTCCCATTCGAACGCCACACACACAACACAAAATCCATGCTGCACTTGGGCACTCTGATCAGAATCGGTGGGGCGGTCGATATGTTCTCATTGCTGCATCCACAGAATCCAACCAAAAATTCATATATTACATTGAAATGTCATTGGTGTTTCATTGCGTTGTCAGCTGTGTGTGTTTATAAATTCGATAGAAAAGCTCGTATATCTTAATGAAATCCTTATGTAGTTAGTTGATTCCCATCGATTCCCCCACATATTCTCAACAAATGTCAGTGGTTTCTGTTGCATTGTCAGTGGGATTTCATCATGTTTTTCATACATTTTCTCTTGCATATCAATGAAATCCGTATGTTTTCAATGGAGGTGTCATTGATTCCCCATCATATTTTCAATAAAAATCCATGTGTTTGTTACATTTTTTTTATGAAAACTCAATGAAATCCTCATGTGTACAATGAATTTTCCATTGATTTCTCAGCATAATTCCCAGAAAAATCAATGATGTTGCTACATTTTTATGCAAATTTTCACTAACAACTAACACGGTTTATCGTATTTTTCTATAAAAAACAATCGATATTCAATACAAAAGTGATGTCTCGAACATCGCGGACCCATGCACTCAGGCAGTGTATGCATGTCCGAACTGCAGTGCGCGTGTCTGACAGCGACCCGGAGGCGTTTCGGAGGAGGCCGAAACGCTCCAGGAGCGCAACTGGTAGTGTTTCGGAGGGGTCTGAAACGCTTGAGGGGTATCCCAGTGGTGTTTCGGAGGGGTCCGAAACGCCTCGGTGGTGTACCAGAGGCGTTTCGGAGAGGTCCGAAACGCTCCAGGCGCGTCCCCAATGGTGTTTCGGGTGGGCCTGAAACGCGTGAGGGGTGTCCCAGAGGCGTTTCGGACGGGCCCGAAACGCTCCAGGGGCGTCCCCCGCGGTGTTTCGGACGGGTCTGAAACGCGGAAGGGGGTACACAGTGGTGTTTCGGAGGGGCCCGAAACGCCTTGGGAGTGCACCAGAGGCGTTTCGGAGTGGTCCGAAACGCTCCAGGCGCGTCCCCAGCGGTGTTTCGGGGTGGTCTGAAACGCCTGAGGGTACCCAAGTGGTGTTTCGGAGTGGCCCGAAACGCCTGGGGGGTGCACCAGAGGCGTTTCGGAGGTGTCCGAAACGCGCCAAGGGCGCCCCCCGCAGTGTTTCGGACGGGTCTGAAACACATGAGGGGTGCACCAATGGTGTTTCGGAGGGGTCCGAAACGCCTCGGGAGTGCCCCAGATGCGTTTCGGAGTGGTCCGAAACGCTCCAGGCGCGTCCCCAGCGGTGTTTCGGGTGGGCCTGAAACGCTTGAGGGTGTCCAAGTGGTGTTTCGTAGGGGTCCGAAACGCCTGAGGAGCGTACCAGAAGTGTTTCGGAGGTACCCGAAACGCTCTAGGCACATTATAAGTGGTGTTTCGGGAGGGTCTGAAACGCCTGCGGCGTGTCCCAATGATAGTTCGGAGGGGTCCGAACCGCCTGAGAGGCGTCCTGGATGCGGGTGGGCGGTGTCCGAATAACGGATGATACCACCACGAACGTTTCGGCGTAGTCCGAAACGCCTAGCGTGAACCATTTCCCGGGACGATATGGGTCGTGTCGTAGTTCAGAAATCTTTTGCGTTATTACAATTGTGTATTAAAATTCCATTGAAAACGTTGATGTGTGTGTTATGTGCCCAATGATTTTTTTAATAAAATACTTAAGTTTTGCATGCGGATTAGCTTGCAAATCTAATGATTTCATTGAGTATTGTCTTGCAAATGTAATGATTACATTGAGTATTTTCATTTATTTCACTGAATTTGCAATGGCTTTTGACGTGTTTTTCCACGTTGTGGTATTGATTTTTGTACAGAATTCTATGTCGGTTAATGTTGTTTCTCATTGTTATTCGAAGGTTTTGTTTGATTCCCTATCCGTGGTTACTAAATCAGCAATCAAATTCCATACACATATGTGTGTTTCGCACTAAAGTTTTCACACATTTTGAGCATTTACGAATTAAAATATCAGTAGTGTTGTTATCACCGCTCTGTAATTTCATTGAGATTGATCTGATTTCGTTCACTGCTTCACTACTTAAATGGCAATTCCATTGGAACCGTATGTTTGTTCGAGGCTTTGACATCATAATTCAAGTACTTTTGCAGTGTTATGTTGAAGCATGTTGAAACAGCGCGTTGATTGTTCAGTATGATGTCCACGAACTTGGTTGGACATATCTGACCTGAATTGTCCTATGTGTGATGTGTAATGTGTAATGGACAGTGTTGTTGTTGGTGTTGTTGTTGTTGTTGTTGTTGTTGTTGTTGTGTAGCGTTCGGCGTATGTTTTGATACAACGCAGTGCGCAATGTTATGTGCGCGATGCTGCATTGTGGGCAACACGTTTTGATGTTACGTGTAATGTTGCATTCGGCCCCAGGCGCCACGTTGTTGTGCTCTACGTGCGATGCGTACATCACGTATCCTATCGGATCTCACGCCCATCCATTGTGCACTCGTGCGTGCCAGCATATTCCTCTGTTCCACCGCATGCGCAGTGTCTCATCGTACAACGTGTTTACGGTGTGTCCTGGCAATGGCGTGCTGCGATCACCCTCGCTCCCCTGCGACGCAGGCTTGTTTGCCCCCTAAGATCGAAGAATCGAATAAGATCTGTCCAGGAGTCCAGGACCAGGGGGCCAGGGGGTGCCCAGAGATGGAGCATGACCGTCCCATGATTTCAAGCGTTTCCCCGACGTCCCCTGAGTTGCACAGGGTGGTTTGAGATGGAGGAGGAGGAGTGGTATGATGAGGACGAGGAGGGGGCGGAGGAGGAGAAGTAGAGTCACACTCAAAGACAACTATCACGATCCGCAACCGCCAAGAGAAGTTGAAGCGGGCGATGTCTAATTCATCGCAACATCTAGGCTTCCAGGAGCTCGGCACCCCCAACCGAACATTCTGAACACGTAAAATTCAGTCATCTGAAAGCGTTGCGATAGAAACATGCGGCCTCCTGTCGGGCCTGGGTCTAATCGAGCTCGATGGTATCGTCGCTATCCTCAGTGTCTGGTCCCAGCAGAGCTGCGTGACGAGCACAAGTAGTACGCCCATCCGCAACGTAAAATTGCCCAGTACGAGTAGGATAAATACCCCTGGACAGCTTCGAGAGCACTTTCTTCGCGTAGTACGTGCGCAACCCAGAGCACTCCTACAGCGGCGATGGCGGCATTCTTCCCTCCTCGTCCCCCCTCTCGTCATCATCATCATCATCCTCCCTCCCCTCGTCCTCCGCAGATCCTCATCCCTACTAATCCCTACTCATGCTGCTGCTGCTGCTGCTGCTGCTCTCCTCCTCCTCCTGCCCGGACTCCTGCCCTCCTCCTCCTCCTCCTCCTCCTCCTCCTCCTCCTCCTGCTACTCTCACTTGGGTCCAAAGTGAGTCGTGGATACAGTGGATACCGTATGGCAGTACGGCTCCCGCACTCCCGCCCAACCCCAACTATTCTTCGTCGTCACCCTCCTCCTCCTACTTCAGACGAGCTCGGGGGTCCTGTAACAACGAGCGGGGCGTCGTTGACTTAGCCCACGAGCCGCAGACGGTGCAGCAGACGACGTCGTTCACCTCTGGTCAGGGGCGGGCGACGCAGAGACGGGTGGATGGGAGGAGGCGGGAGCAGGAAAGGAAGGAGGTAGGAGGAGGCGGAGGAGGGAGGAGGCCTCGGCCAACACGTGTGTCGGGTGAGCCACAGACGATAGCGGGTGATGGAGACGGCGTTGTTGACCGAACAGCCCATCGATCATCACAATGTCGATCTCTGGCCAGGTCCGTTCTACCCTTTCCGTTTCCTCCAGGAGGGCGAGGTGAGTGGAGAGGAGGAGGAGGAGGAGGAGGAGGAGGAGGAGGAGGAGGAGGAGGAGGAGGAGGAGGAGGAGGAGGAGGAGGAGGAGGAGGAGGGGGGGGGGAGGAGGTGGGGGAGGAGGCGGAGGAGGAGGAGTGAGGGAGTGAGCGAGATCCTTGGCCGCGACAGGGACAGGACGTGGCGGCGTGGTGTCGTGCAGCCCGACCACGCGACCCGTGAACACTTGATATCGCCCAATCTTACGGTAAGGTTGTGGCGACCTCGACCGACATGTCCCACGACCCGCCATTGCAGATAAGTGATGCGGGAGAGATGTCGGCTGCAGCGCCACAAGGGAGCCAAACTATGAATACAACACACAACGGTTCCTTGCTCCTCCTCATCCTTCACCTCCTCCTCCACCTCATCCTTTTCCTATTCCTCTTAGTCGTTTCTATATATCATCAACCCGCGGCGTGGGTTTGGCTGAGAGGGGGGGGGCGGTTGAGCAGAGGTGGATGGGGAAGGGAGGCGGAGGGCGAGTGAGGAGGAGGAGGAGGCACGGGCATGACCAAGATTTACTTCCGCTAGGCATCCACCGGCCAAATCGGCCATCACGGCATGCCCCCGACTTCCGCCGTAAGCGATAGGATATGCATCAAGCGATTGACCTTGAGGGAGGATGAACAGAAGGTGCGGTTCGACTTCACGTACACATGAATCAACAACTCAATCAGTCAATCAGTCCAATCAGTTCTGAACGCATCGGCTGCACTCAGGCTGCAACCGTTTCGAAAGGAGGCTGCAGCGTTACTAGCCGCAGCCAAGAAGTGAAAAGCACATGGGGCACGTGGACCCACCATTGGGTCCATCCCGAAACACAGGAGGCAACACCACCGACGTACATCCATCAAACAAACGACACTCTCTTATACCGTCCGCCTTCACTCCGGCGAGCCCCGTCGCACACTGAGGATGCCACGCCAACATACACACGCTGCAGCGCATGATTCTGGAGAAACCAACAAAATGTGGATCCGTGAAAGTTAATTCGCACAGCGCACATGGTCGTGCGAAGGCGCCAACGTCTCCATCCTCATCTAATGATTTCAAAGCGTTCTCCCACATGTGTGTGAGCTGCATAATACTCTCAGGGATTGGATCGCGCAATGCTCGAGCTTTGATCATTCGAATGCCGATTGTTGGCAATATCATTTCAACAATGTCGTCCGTCCAAGGTCGGTCCCTATCCTTATCACCGTGTGGCACAACATAGCTAGGATAAAACTTATCAGAAGCACCTCGTTGCTGGAATGTGGGAGAGCGGCCAATTAAGTTAATCGGATCTACCCAGTGAACCAGCTTGACTGAACGCTCACCGCCGATCGATACATCAGCCAGCGACAACTCCCATGGTGAACAAGTCCCACCAGTCGGACCAAGACGCTTATTATATCTATCACTCAAGATCTCGATACCCCTTCGAGCTACAACCTGCCACTTATCGAACGCCCGATCAACGTCGTGGTGCGATGCAACCACTGTTTCGTAATACCGCATCATGCACATAACGGCCCCTGGTCCAAGCTCTGGGGGATGATGATGGTGACCCGGCGGCGCCTCGCCGCCTGTTTCCTCTTGCAGCGACGCTTCGAGAATGGCGTCGTGCTGGAGGGCGACAGGGTCAGCAGCCAGGCCGGGGCGCTCCTTGGCAGGGGGGTGTCAGCGCGCGCCCCCAACAGAAAAGACAAGGAGGAGGAGGAGGAGGAGGAGGAGGAGGAGAAGGAGCAACGGAGGAGAAGGGGAGGAGGAGACGAGGGGCAGTGGCAAGAGGAGAGGGCGGAGGCAGAGAAGAAGAGGAGGTGAGAGGAGGAGGAGGAGGAGAGGAGGAGGAGAAGGAGGAGGCAGGAGGACGAGGAGCAGGATGATGATGGAAATTGAAGCGGACCCCAGGGCTCAAGCACGAAGGGAGGGCTCCTGGCCCCAGTGACTGACATCGACAGTCTCGGCATGGTGGTGAGAGCCCCAGCCCCGAACCCCCTAGTCCCCTGACGGGACCGCCAGCAAACGTTCTGACTTGACAAAGCTAGGCCAGAAGACAAACGCATTGGGATAAAGCGAGCAAGAGCGTAAGAGGGTGGCTATCCTCTGCGAGTCCTTCACACGCAGCGTCTATAGCAGCGGGCGGCACAACGCCCAACTGATCAGCAAGAGGTTCATCAGTGAACAGCGCGTCGTCCTCGTCATCGCCCACCTCGCAGTGGATGCCGTAGTTGGGGCTGTGCTGGTTGATGCGGTCGGCCTGGCAAGCATCTACTGACTGTTCGTCCAAAGCTGCAGCAATCGCCTCCGCCTCCTCATCGGCGTTCACGCTCGACTCGTCGAGCGAGCCGTAAGCAGACTCCATCATGTTCATTGCGAGTTCTCTCAAGACCTCCTCATCGAACTCTTCACTGTGCTCACCGTGACCGCCGTGATCGCCGCCGTCGGAACTGTCGCCGCCCTCGTCGGCGCCGTCCTCGTCCTCCTCAACCACATCTCCGTGTCCAGCCCCTGGCCCAGCGTCGACTCGACGCCGCTTGGCCAACCTCGCCACGTTCATCCCCTTCGGCAGCTCATGCCTTGGGGCGGCGGGCGCGGTGGGCGAGCGAGAATGTGGCAGAATAAGAATGATGATGCTGAGGCGCGGGGAGACTACCAATCATTTTGTTCCTGTCTCCTCATCCTCGGACTCCTCTGAGACAAAGTGGAGGGAGAGAGGCTGAAACAAAGTGGAGGGAGAGAGAGAGAGAGAGAGACGTGCCTCATCACGAAAGCAGCTGCACCACTAGATACATCGATCTTCATGAAGATCTGGCATGGGGCATCAGCGGCCAGCACCAGTGCTTCAGATGGAGCCGGTGCACGTGGGCGGATATCCCATGTCACAGAATATTGCATCACGGCAACGCTCGCGTCGTGGTTGTCCTGGCGATGGCATCGCTCTCCTCCTCCCCCCCTTCACCTCCTCCTCATCCTTCTCCTCCTCCTCCTCTCCTCCTTCCTCTCTTCTCCTCCTCCTCCGCCCCCCCGCCTTCGCTCTCCTCCCTCCTCAGGGCTGGGGCTCTGAGAGTTGGATAGGACGAGGCGTCCTGCAAGAAGCTGTACTGGCTTGCCCACAAATCAAAAGACATTACCCACTTGAATGGAATAGTGATGTCACCAGTGTAGTACTGCCCATCTCCTAGTGATGTCACGACAGCCTGGAACAAGACACCAAGCGACCAACTCTTCTCAGCACATAGGAACACAACGGAATTGATTCCGATATCCCCCAAGCACCAGCAGTGGAACACTGTAGGTTTGCTGCAGCAGCGGTGCCAAAGAATATTCTGGGCAGCTGACCACACCATGGAATCATCAAGCGCTGGCTTCGGTGGCACGTCTGGGACGATGAACGGTGCGCTCGACTGGCCAATCGGTGCCCACCTGTCTTCCAAGGATCGGACATACTCGACATCTTCGTCTGATACCCCTTTGCTGCACTGGTCGAGCACGTGGATCGCGCGCTCTTTGATCTTGCTAAAACGTAAGCTGGCACCCCGTCGACCAAGACCAATTGATTTCTTGGTCGACACTCGTGAAGACAAGAGTGGTAAAGTCAAGTTACGAGCTCGCATGCAATGCAACTTCACAAGCGAATTCGTCCCCTCAAGCTCCTGAGTGTCCGACCATGCCCACATAGATATTGCCACAGCCACAATGTACACCCCTCGGTCCGAAACAGTGCCTCTGCGAACTCCAGCATGGTCGAAACTGGCAGCTTGCTCGAAATCTGATCTGAACGCAATCACAAGTTTCTTGGTGTTGATCTCCAACTTCATCGGGTCTGTTTCTAATATTTCGGCTGCAAGTTGCGCGCGTCGCTGGCATCTGACACTTGGGGCCTTACCTGCGAACCAACATAGAGTCAGCGGCAACACCATCAATGGACGACAGACTCGACGATGGAAGCTGGCGGCGGTGTGAGAAAGCAGCAGCACTGCCATTCCTAAGAAGCGCGGAGCCAAGGGAAGCGGCCAATCCTCGAATCTAGAAGCCCAATCTGTAGACAGCAGTGTTGAACCAAAGCTGTTCTCGATCGTCCCAGCCTTCCCGAAAATTAGTTGTCCCACCGTAGAGCCCTCAAGAGCAATGGTAGTGTCACTGAGTGGCTGTTCGAGCGTGAACTGAAACCTGCTGAGAGGCCCACATGATATATCTGCTAGATCAACAGCAATCCAGAACACCCTGTCATGAACTGATACCATTGCCTCCTTTTTCCACCTCCCCTGCTTTGCCCGGTGCGCCCTGGTGTCATCTACTCTGGGATCGTCAGCGTGTCCGTCCAGGTTGTCCTCGCGCCTGTCTGGCCTGCCCAGCCGCCGCCCAAGGAGGCAAGGTGGTGAGGAGATGCGGGGCGTCATCGTTGCCACAATCCTCATGCCTCCTCCTCCCCTTCGCATCGTCCCCTCACCACATACTCCTCCTCACCTCCTCCTCCTATCATCTCCCTCCTCCGTCTCCTCCTCCATCCCATGCTGACAGGCATCCATTCGATGACGCACGATTCTAGCATGGCAGCGCGGCAGAGAGTTGGACAGACGCATTGCATGGATGCGTTGACAGGATTGAGAAACATGTGGCACGAGCAAGACTGCTACCCATGCCCCTCCTTGCTCGTCGAAATCTCGCAATACATTGTGCCGTTTTGTCGCACTGGCAGTTCGTCACGTCAGCGAATACAGATTCAAGTTGGCAGAACCCTGCCTCGTTCAATAATCTCTGGAAGAATCCGACACTGCCCCATCTTCCAGACAACGCGCGGCCTGGAAGTTTACGAGCAAACTTGAGCGCAGCCTCAGTACCGTTGCATCTTTTCCAAGAGCGAAACATGTCTTTCGAACAATCTCTCCATATGTGGTTCAGCTTGGCCATTGACGCGTAAAAGTGCCAAGGTGGTTTGACTGGTAAACAATTCTGGAGAAACCAATCTGTCAGCTTGAGGTTCCCATTGTGAATCAGGCTCGATGAATGGTGGAGGCAGCCCAACTCGATGAGGGTAATGTTAAATGCGCTGCCCAAGTCAGCTGCCAGCAACTGCTTGAATACAACCTCCCCCTTCCCCATGCTGATCATGACTCCCGCTAACGCCCATCACACGACAGAGAAGCAGTTGGCAGGCAGCTGTGCACACGGATGCCAGGCCAACATAAGCACACGCCACGACTCACGACCCATGTTGCACAAGCTGTTGCGCATTGCAACCTCTCGTCCTCTCATTCCTTCATCTTCTGCCCCTCCCTTCCCACCTGATCAGGGCCGCCATCAGATATGTACATGACCACTCTCCATATCAGCGCAGGCGGCAAAGGAGCGGGCGCCGGGGTAACGAAGGATGTCCACCTGAAGCCTGCTGTTTCGCAAACCTTGCGCACTGTACAGTAAGTCCCCTTGCCTGACGCATCAATTATTGGCAACATGTCCAACACTCTGCGCATCGATTGGGACTCATTCATCATCAGGTGCCGTACCTCATCGTTCGGGCGTGAAAGCAAGTCCGAGGACACATAGATGCTCTCGAGTTCAGACACCATCAACTTATTACCATTCCAAATGCTAGAGTTTGTAGCGTCCGCTCTGAAGCGGTGAACAGACATCGTCGAAATGTAACGATGTGTTGGATCGGCATCTACGCAGGATGATAGCGAATCAGCAGCCTGTTGAAGCATGTCGGCTTCATTCTCTATGTGGAATGTTCGAAAACTAGATTGCAGTCGGCTGCCAAAACTGATTTCTGAACGGCACACTGTCTGATGAGACATGTCCATCAACGCAACATTTCCGAAAGAACTGGCAGAGATGTTGGCAAGGGCCTTTCTCATGGCAACGGCACAAGTACCAGGCAATGTGAGACGGACATCCTTGGCCCCCCTGGAGATGACTAGCTGGGACTCTGGCTGCGAACCCGTTAATGCAACGATCTGTTTCTGGAGGGCGCGAATCTCACTCGCAGCTTTTGCTAATTTCTTCTGCGTGTCGTTCCTGAAACCCTTGAAACTGGCAACTGTGCTCTCAATCTGATCGTCCCTCGTGCGAATCAACTGAACCAACGTGCAACGATCCAAAACATCATATTGCTGAGCAATGGCGTCGCTTCTCCGTCGCGCCCATCGTGAGACCAGGGAGCCCGTAGTGTCCCGAGGAACAAGTGATAAATCTGGAGGGGCGACCGCAGGAGCTGGAAGAGGCAGCGGTAGTGGCTGTGGGCGCGGAGGTCTAGGATCCATCGCAGTCGTCAGCATGTTGCGCCAGGCAGCATCGGAGATGCCCCGAATACCAAGATTCGCCAAGAGAGACGGTAGCTGGACAGCTCTGAATCCACATGGGTGCATCCAAGCAGGGCTCAATATGTGCCGAATTTGTCGGGCCGTTGCATCAGCATTCTGCCTGGTTAAAGACGACACAATGATTGCAAGATGTTCCCTGGAGATGACCAGCTCATCGGTGCCGTCCGTGGCACGAACAACTTTCGTGCGAGCAACAATCTGAAGCTGACGAGAAAGAGCAAACGACATATGAAACGTGACACGCTACACTCCTGATAGAAGACAGCTGCGGAAGGAAATGGAGCGAGATAAACGACAGATGGCGGACAACCTTGAGCGCTTGCTATCTTCAGCACATGTTCGGGCTCTTCTGCTAGGCGGTCGACTGCTCTTTGCCCGTGGCCCCCTGCCCATCTGCCCCCCAGCGCTGTATGCACCCCAAACGACTTATACACTTATATTTGCTGTGCGTGTTTGGATATTTCCTTTCAACTGACGCTGCTCCCCCATCAGGGACGCCCAAGATACACACCAAGAAACACCCTGACATCAAAACGGAGGAGGGGGAGGAGGGGAAGGAGGAGGACAGGAGGGAGGAGGAGGAGGAGAAGGAGCAGGATGATCAAGAGGAGATAGCAATCATAAGTTGTTTGCTATTTTTGGCATCCTGGAACTAGAAGCGCTCTGTAATGAGCTGCGCATAAAAGTGTCCGCCGAAGGCGTCGCCTCCAGTATTTCGAGGTCCTGATCTTACGCACTCGCGATTTTTGCACTCGGGAAAGATGCTTGAGGTCAATTTCCGCACTAGTTCTAGCGCCATGAAATCGCGGTTGCTCATCGTTTTTGCTTCCCAAAAATGAAGAAGCCAAGTGAACCATTAGGTTGTTTCAGTGTGAGAACTTGTGAGCACCCCACGTTTTCAGAGCGCAAAGATGGTTGCGCTCTCTGAATCCTAAGAGGTTTTAGGTGCGTTAGCTACATCAGGGCCTCAACAACCCCGGCGCCTTGAAACATTAATTTTTGGGTGAACAGCAGTTGTGAACATACCCAGTGAGGAATGAGGGGTGAGGAGTGAGGAGTAAGGCTGAGGAGTGAGGGTGAGGGGTGAGGCTGAGGGGCGAGGGAGGAGTGAGGGTGAGGCTGAGGAGTGAGGGTGAGGAGTGAGGCTGAGGGCCGAGGGAGGAGTGAGGCTGAGGAGTGAGGAGGCTGAGGAGTGCGGAAGAGGCTGAGGAATAAGCTGAGGGGTGAGGATGAGGCTGAGGAGCGAGGCTGAGGGGCGAGGCTGAGGGGCGAGGGAGGAGTGAGGCTGAGGTGCGAGGAAGAGGAAGAGGAGGCTGAGGAGTGAGGCTTTTCAACAACGACGACGACGATGACGACGACGACCCCCCCTCATGGCTGGCCTGCCCACCCAGTGGGGGGCTAGCGGCTGCGGGCGCCACTGTGGACCCCGAGGCGCGCCGGGGGGGGAGATGGGGGCAGGCAAGGGGAGAAGGATGGAGGCAGGAAAGGAGAATTAGTTGTTTTCTTGCATTGCGTAGCTAGTCGCACAAGAAGCACATATGGTGGAGTTGCTCAACACCAGCAGCCCTATCGGCTAGCAGACTTCATGAAAGAATCCAACAGCCTCCCCAACTGGGGCTCAGCCAGTGTGCAAACTCCACCCGTGGGCTGATAGCAGTGCACTTAAATGCTGCTCTACTTGTGGGCAAGGTGCGTCTTGTAGAATGTAGAGAGGAGGTGAGGAGTTAAAGTGCTTCTGACCCTGTGAATAATTAACTGCATTTTGGAGGATTGGTTCAGCAATCAGGCGACTGTGCATGAGCACACTTACCTGCTCATGATGGCATACCACATACCACCAAAAAAAGACATGTCTGTCCTAGCACACTTGCCCACATAAGGCATCAATCAGCCAGCCTGCAATACGTGCTTGGCTTCGAGGCCTCTATGCACCACCACCTGCAGCTGGTGCGCTCGCCACCTTCACAGCGCGGCCAGCACCAATTGAAACAGGACTGGTGAGAACAAAGGCAGGGCGAACAGGCGCGAGGCCATTCACCCCCCACTTCACCACCCACACCACAGAGCACAGGTCCTCAGTGCCATTCATCCACGTGCTGATTGGGATGGTGCTGGCCACAGAGACACTCGTCAGCTTTTGCTCCTCCTCGTCAGTGCGGGTAGGCGTGGAAAACACCTGGTGCTTAGTGCTCAGCGTGAAGTTGCCAGCTGGCCCTTCTGTATCCTCACCCATCTCGTGGTGTGCCACCTGGGCGCCCGGGTGGGTCGCCCTCCTCTCCTGCCAAGGCAACGAAACTGACTTGTGATTCTCAGGGTGCGGGGTATATCATTTGGAGGTGTGGATGGGGGTTGGGGATGGTGGGGGAGGGGGGAGGGTGGATAGGGGAGTAGACATGGAGGAGGTCTTGTTGTGATGTCAGGATGGGGGGGCCATGCAACATGGGAAAGGATCGTTCGTTAGCCTGACTTGCTCAGACAAGAGGTTGGGTTCCAAC